ATTTTTCCAAAAGCAGACATGGAAGGCAAAGACCGGCCACCTTAGTGTTTAAGATCTGTCATGTTACATCATTCTTTTACCTTTAGTAATATTCTATGAAATGAGACTCATCTCAATGAATCACTGGTTGTCGGGACAGAATGACGCTGGGGAGAATATGCCATTTAAGCAGAACACCTGCTTTGCTTGCAGGCCCCACCACATTCATCCCAGGCATCTCCAGCTAAGAGGATGTCAGGTAAAAAGTGCTGGGAAAGACCCTTCTCTGCCTCAGATCCTGAAGAGCGGCTGCCAGTCAGAGGAGACAATACTGTGCTAGATGGACCAGTGGTCAGACTTAGGCTGCAGTCACACATACGAAATAATCCACTTTCAATGCACTTTCCAACTAGATCTCACCAGTTAACACAGTAAAATCCAGTTGGAAAGTGCACTGAAAGTGGGTTGAAAGTGGATTATCTAGTGTGTGTGATCACAGCCTTGGTACAATATAGTTTCATATGTTAAACCATCAGACACCTAGAGAAAGGAATAAGAAGATGGATGCACGTGACTATCAAGCACAGAGAAGACACAATAATTTGTAAATTCAAAGTAGTGCAAGAAACCCTTAAGACTCTCGGGGGAATCATGACTACGCAATGTGTTCACTTGTCTCCCGTTTGCCCTGCTACTGAATCTCTATCATTCCAAACTCAGCATAATCTCTTCACTGTTCATTTGAAGAGACTGACAGGAAATTACACTCCCATTTCTCCCACACACATACTACTTTCTTCCACCAAGTACAGCTTTTGAGAAACCAGAGACTAAGGTCTGATAAAAGGAGATGCGTGCCAGCTCATCTTTATCAACGGTAGCCATTTGCCTCTGTTTTTAAAAAGAGAAGACAGGTATAGCTTCAGTCACCTGGCATAACTGATAATTCTGAGCAAAAGTCAAAAGTTGGTGAAGCCAAAAATCGACACATGAACTTTATATGCATTATATGTAATGCCTGCTTGGTTTTAGGCTCTAAGATAGCAAATAGAAAAAGCAGATTTTAAGACTGACTTTTTCCATGGGCTGTCTAATTTTACACAGGGCCAAGTGACTGGAAGGCCTCAAGCCTTTGAGATTTATGTCCATCATTGCATCTGGGAGCCTGAAGTCTCAGAGCATCAAAGGTCTTTGCTGGGCTGCAGTCAATGGAGTCAACTTTTATGACTGCAGAACCCCACCAAGGAGTCTCTGTGATGCACAAAACTGCTGAAATCCTTTTGGAATATTAGAATGCATTCAGGTGCTGAGGATGGCATGAACTAATCCACATCACATTACTGAACTGAATTACATTTCTTGTACTATGGAACATAGAAAAGCAAGTCCATTTCAAATAATTACAGGAACTGTATTTGTGCAGAAGAATGAATAACTCATACTTCCTTACCCAGGTCTGCATTTACAAACCATCATATTCTGAGATAATACTGTTACTTTGAAACAACGCAGTGTTTATCCCCATGATGGCACACTGTTTATCTTTACTGAATTTTATATTATCCTAGAACTGGATCTTTTAAACCTTCCATAAACATTTATTTCCACTTATTTCTAAACAAAGGCCTTTTGGGTGGATGTATTAAAAACAATGAAGATATCATTCATAAATTTCTATTCATGGCAAAGTTCTGCCTCCTGCTCTCCACCACAAGATACATCTTGTAGGCAAACTTCAAGATATTCACTGGAGACAATTTTCATGTTTTCAACGTACTTACTCAAGAGACAGACAGGATAATTTCCTCAGCCTCTACTGAACATCTGTTTTAAAAGACCTCATATTACCTAGACAATTCAAAAAATGCACTGCCCCAAAGGTGAAGAGAGTACCATTCCTCCCAATTTGTTACAGTGACAAAATAATTAATACAAGATGGAAAATACATCTGTATCTTTAACAATTAGTGGTCAAAACACCCTGTGAAAGTCATCTGCATGCAATTAATTTTTAAAAAATTATTTTTATTCCAGCCTTCTTCCAAAAGGTGATCAAGGTAGTACACTCCCCTCCTTATCCACTTAACAATCCTGTAAGGTAGGCCAAGCTGAGACACAGTATCCCAAGGACATTTAGTGAGCTTTTGAGGCAGCTTGGGGGCTTGAATGCAGCTCACCTTGGCCCTGACCCAAGAGTCTAATGTAAATACCACCATCTGTCTGCAAAATGAGAGAAAGAGCTAAGCTGCTCAACTATCACTTTCATCGGCAGTTTAAATGGACTTTAAAATGGCCTTTTGTAATAATCTGATATTCCCATATGGAGCATAGCAAAGCATCTGATCAAAACCTGGCACAGAATCAGATATAAACAGAAAGCTGCATGTGACACCGCATCAGTAAGTTTCCTAGAGTCTGTTCTCACTTTTAAGTCACTGGCAATTATTTCATACCCCTCACCTATACTATATGAAAAGTGACACCATCTGAACAACCAAGCAAAGCCAGAGTACATAGTGGGCTGCATTCTTTCCCTGATTTTATTTCCAATGAATATGCCCTCTTGGGGGAAAAAAACTGAGATAAGAACTGTACATTTCCCTTCTATCTGTTGGGGGGGGGGGTTGGCTTTTAGAAGCAGATTAATTCTGCAGATACTAAATTCTGACCAAGAAAGTGAAGAAGTTTCACTTAATTTTGTTAGATTTTTATACATTACTTTTCTCCCCAGTGGGGACCTGAAGGAGCTGATAACACTGCTCTCCCCTTCTCTTCACAACTACCCTGTGAAAGAGGATCAGGAGAGAGAGACACAGAGAGAGACACAGAGAGAGAGAGACAGAGAGAGAGAGAGAGAGAGAGAGAGAGAGAGAGAGAGAGAGTGTGTGTGTATAGGTCACCCAATGAGTTCCCATGGCAGAGTCAGAACTAGATTTGAACCTCCATCTCCTGTACCCCCTGCTGGCTCGGTAATTTACCATCAAATTCATCACTTAAGACTGCTTCTGCAACTCCAGTTTATTTACACTAATAGTTCAGAAATGTAATGGTTGATGTTTGTGGACTGTGCACAAGAGTATCATGGGATGGAGAAAGCGTTGATCGGAACCTGGCATTTATGTGAAAATGCAACATTACACTCACTGGGGCTGTGACCTTATGCCTGCTTTCCTGAGAGTAAGACCCATGTAGGACTTACCTGTGAGCAAAACATACATAGGCATGAAGCATCATCTGGCCAGCTTAAGGTGCTTCCACAAGTTGTACTTAGAACCTGTGCCTTTTCCTGGAACCATCAGCCTTCCGGGGCAGCTAAATGGATGCATTTTTTGGTATTCAGTTCCTTTACCTCTCCTACTTCCTCACTAGCTGGTTCAGCACCAAGTAATAAGAGATAAATCTGTGCAAATGGGCAAATGCAGCAGCATCACCCATCCTGGTATGCCAATAGTTCATTTATCTGCCTTCCTTTCCCATGGCTCATGGCTATAACTGTGGCTAAGTGACAGAGCATTTGTTTTGCATGTCAATCACAAGTTTAATACCTGGCATCTCCAGTTAAAATGATCAAATAGTAGGCAATGTGAAAGATCTCTGAGACCCTAAAGTGCCAGTACCAGTCACTGCAGACAACACTGACCATCATAGGCCAATGATCTGACACAGTATAACATGGCTTCATATGTTCAGCTACAGTCCAGTTGCTGCAACAGGGAAGTAAGTGGACTATATCAGCACAGGGTCAACAATTTGTGCAAGTTGTGCTGTGTTGCATGCAGTCTTCCTATATGGAAGCAATTCAAGCATCAGGCAGACTGACTTCAATCTTCCATGATTTTCTGTATCTAGAACTTCTGTGATGTGTTTTATACGTACAAGGCAATCTGCATTTACAAAGCTATAATGTATATGCAATGTCTTCACAACTGTAATATAACTAGTCTCTGAAATTATCCTGATTTGCTTAAGATCATAAGGTGGCTCGACTAAAGTCCATTTCATACAGCAGTGTTTGCAAGAATCCCAGCAAGCATGAGCGATGGACATGTGAAAACCAGTCAGCAAAGCAGCAATGTGCTACCAACCCACAATACAGTTAAGAGAGTAAGAAAAATCTAGCTGGATCAGACTAATGGTTCATCTAGTCCAGCATCTTGTTTTCCAAAGATGCACAAAAGTGACATAGAGGCCCCAACCCCACCTCTGGCATTCAGAGCTATAGTGCTCCTGAACATAGAAGTTCCCATTAGCCACTTGGCTACATTTAGTCACTGACAGGTCAATCTACCATGAAATTCTTTAAATGAGAATACAATTAAGATTACAGAATGAGAAAATAAAAATAACTCACAGGAGGAAAATCATAAACCTTTCTCCCATTTTTTAAATTTAGTAAAATGAACTCATTAAAAATTATTTGGTCCATATGTACCACTCTCTCCACACACCATTAAATGACCAATTAATGCCTATTACTAAGATTAAAGCACATCTGGAGTAGGATTTCACAACCTTCTGCCTTATTTTGGGACCCATGGACATCATGTGGAAAATCATAATTTTTTATAAACTTGATTCAGCTTCCTATTTAGCAACCTGGGTCCCAGGCCGGCTTAACAGCTTGGACTTCCCTGAGCAAGCCTTAAAAATAAAGAAACAAAACTCACTTAAGACAAACTGACTCTACGATCCTATACAGAGTTGCTCCAGCTGAAACCCATTCATTTCAGCGGGCGTAAACGGTACTCCCCCTCCCCCATGAAGACTATTAGACCCCCAATAATCGCAGATCCGGTGAAAGGGGCAGATCCCACAGTGCAGAGTTACTTCCGTAAGAATCGCTTTCCCCTCCAGATATCTGCTTCTCAGCACATGTCTGCAACTGATGTGTCTGCGGGTTTGGGCTTCCTACAAAGGGAGGAAAGGAACAATGGCGTGCCAAGAGAATCAAGGCGTTGGTCATCCTGGCCAGGTAACTTCCGAACAGCTGGTCAGGAGTTAGCGGCAGTCTCTTTTCTTACCTTCTTCACTTTGCTCTCCAAATCCATGTTCAGTACCCCTCTGAGACACAAGCGAGACACAGGGAGAAATCCGGCGACGATGGCTTTTTCTCCCCCTCCCGACAGTCGGATGTGGTCAGGAAAGGAAACGGGCTTCAGGGCGCTGCCTCGGGTCGCAACCTGCCCTTTGCAATTTACAGCTACTGCACAGCGGAGTTAAACTTCCGCTCTCTCTGCGGCAGCCTGAAAAGGAACAAAGGAACACCCAGCAGCCAATCCGGGCTCAGCAGCTTGCAGGTCTGACAGCCAATTGCAACGCCCTCCGAATATACCTTTGCTCAGCCTGCAGGGCTCTTAAGGCACCCTGCAGACAAGGGAGGCACGAGGGGGTGCCTGGTGGAGTCAGCCTTTTGCCCGGGTAATGGCTCTGCCACTGCCACTTGGAGACGCGCCTCCCTTGGGTCAAGCGATGACGGCCCAAAGGCGGGGCTCTGTGGGTGTGTGTGTGTGGCCGGACTTTTTGGCAGGGCTTTGAGCTGTTCGATGAATGAGGCGGCCCATAAGGTCATGGAAAAGGTATTTGCTGACGCAGCTCGGCCAATTCCTCCCCATTTGGCTAAATCGTTTCGTTCTGTCTTGGAAGGAGAGGAGAGGAGTTTGTCGATTAGGAGAGCGGGGAGAAGGCGCGGAGGATAACCCTTCTCTTGCAAAAAGTGTTCCTGCGTGTTTGTTGATATCATCACCATCTGGGAAAAGGAATTCCTCCTCTTCCCACTTTCGCGTCCTGTCATGATACGAGAACGTTTTATTTATCCTCGTGCTTCAATTCAGGTTCGACCATTGATCTCCTCTTCCCCAGTGAAGCCATGTGGATACAATGCAGTACTGTCCCCCAATTTGCAGCCGATTCCTACTGATTTCTATTTTCTACTCAGTCCCCGAGTCAACAGAGCATTACTCCCAAGAGAGTCAGAACTACTGGCATGACCCTACAGACACACTTTTTGAAGTGGCACCTTATTCTGCTTTTCAAAAGCCACTGCAAAATAACTCCACACTACCTCCCCAACATAATAACTTTCACCACTTTTTAAAAAAATATTATTTTTTTTGCATACACATATTAAGTAACAATCAAAATACAAAATAATCAAAGATTAGGACAGAAAAAAATAACAACCTTCCCTGTTGTTGGGTATTACAAGTTGAAAACACTCAGTATATCTGGGGTTAAATGTTTGTTTATGTTACTCACAGAAAGTCACATGTTTCTCATGTAACCAATGTTCTTTAGATGTAGAAAGCCCGGGAATTTTCTCCCTGATCTAGGAATTTGATTGGGACTAAAGTGTCAAGGTATATTACCATTTTATGGCTTCTCTTCCCGTCTTTATTTGGAGGTCTTAAGAACAAGAAGAGTAGCCATACTCTCTCTCTCTTCTAGTTTTGTCTTTGTAGGGTAAGGATGTAGCCGATTATGCTCTGTTGTTATTTTCATCCCAGTTACCCTTCCTATGCTAGAATTTAGTAAAAACTTTATATTTTAATCACACATGGACTCTCAGTCTGAATTATTTTACTCTGGCTCTGCTGGACTATTTTATCTCTGCTAAATATTTTTTCAATATCTCACTATCACCCAACACCTGTCAAATCTTACGGGATTATCAAGTCAAGAATCTACAATTAGTGAAGCATAATAAATAACCAAATAACAACTACAGAAAATACAGAAGGTAAACAGTCTAGCCATGTTTCAAATTCAAATATGAACTGTCATAGAAAAATCATATCCTGATACACTGAGTTGCTGGGTAAGATGTCACATTCAGCAAAAAAGCTTAATACAGGGAGCCACATCTCTGTAATTAAGGAATAATATGAATTTTGAGATTTCATTTTTAAGTTGTGTGTTATTTTCCCTATTATAAACTGATCCCAAATTTTCTCATACCACTCTGACATTGTGGGGGATCTAAGCAATCTCAATTCTGAAGCTATAGCTGGCTGAGTAGAAGCCAATAATAAACAAATTAGCTTCCAAGTTGAGTCTGAGCATTCTCTGTGTGGCCAATATTGTAAAAGAAATCTTTCACCACTTAAAACTAAATATCTAGCTGAAAAGTACTGAGACTTACTAGTGATTTCAGCTCTCATACTTTATTTCAGCTCAAAACAAAGACAAATTGCCCAGCTCGCATACTGGTTTATATGCACAACAACCCCGCACCCAAAACACACCACACACTAGTGATTGGCTATTTACAGTGGTTGAGAGTTCCATAGGCTCTCGACTGGAAGCCTAGCCTGCCGATAGGTGCGGGCTAGGATCCGCTTGTCCCATTGTTCCTGTGAGCAAAGCCACCACCCCATAGGGGGTGGTGGCAAAGCTCGACGGCTTCGCCTGCCCACGTGGCGCACGCAGTCTGGGATGGATACATTACACTAGCATTACATAATGTGCTTATTTGATGGCAGCTTTGTAGATTACAGAGGCAAACCTAAATTTGCCAGCCATTCAGCCTCCTCCCTCAGCTCATGCTTTTTTTCTCCTGTCATTCTGCCCACCAGCCAGGGAGCTGCCACCAATGCTCCCTCTAAGCTGTGGAGTCCTGTGAGCAATAATTCTTCTTTGTGAGCTACTGGCATTAAAGTTCTGAGCTACTGCATAAATTAGTTTGCTCTGGAGCCATCCGTCCTGAGCTAAGACAAAAATGCATGAATCAGAGGCTAAAAAACTGAGCTAGCTCACACTAACTCAGCTTAGAGGGAACACGAATTGCAACACAGTTTGGGACCTTGGCCAACATTTAGAAATGCTGGATTAGGCTACTAAAACCTGGTGCAAACCCATTTTGGAGTAAGCCCAACTGAAATCTGAGTCTTATTTCCTAGTAAGCAGTCGCAGAATTAAGTGCAAGCAAGAGCTGTAAAAATTTGGAATCCAGTTGGGATGTTGATCAATTTATAGACTTCCTATTTAGGCGACATGGGTGTAAGAAGTGAAACTTAGTTCAGTTCTGTTTTCAAAAAGGGTGGAGACTGTTTGCCACCAAGTTACTCTTTCACTAGAACTGATAGAAAGCGTTGTTTTAAAATCTAGATTCCGATTAATGACACTGTACCAAGCAACAAGGTAAATTTGTCTTTGCACAAGTGGGAATATTAATAACTAGTTCCAAACAGGAATATCATCAACCATTACAGCTGCAGCATGTTAAATTTAAAAAAAAATGCTGTTAGTATTTTATATAGGATATTTTAATGCTGTCTCTCCAGCTGTGTTGGATGGGGACAGTGACCCTTCCCCAACTGACCAGGAGCTTCTCCTGCCTTGGCTCCAGGGGGGAGGAAGCTGGATAGCCACTACTATGTCCTTTGCCAGGATTGTTTTGACTTCCCCGTAACTGTAAAGCACTTAGAGAGGGATGGCATGATATGTGAGGCACATATATCATTTCTTGGGACCCAGTACAAACTTATAGAACCAGAGACATACACATTGCAAGGTTCCACAAAATGTTAGAAGGTTCCAACCCAAGTATCTTCCTCTCATGGAGGCTGTTATTTCTGAATGGGTGCTGCCTACATACACAAAGGTGATGTCTCCCAGCTTCCCTCCTGTTCCTGTGAGATGGGGGAAAGACAGGGTGTGCTCTTTGTTTTGATGAGGAGATGCTTTGGGGGAAAGAGTAAATGGGCACTGAGAAACACATTGGTAGGTGCCCATGGACACCCTGTTGGGGGATCACTGCTCTAGTCTTTCTCTTTTTCTCTGCTCGTTCCTGGGGTGGGATCACACAAGTAGTTTGGCCCGACATAGCCCCCCTCCAGATCAAATGCACATGATCAAATACACACATCTGGCTCCTGTGCCCCAGTCATCCCTACCTCATGCTAAAACAACTCCCATGCAGATTAAATAGCCACTGGCAAATTCCGGTGGCTACCTCAGTGAGGGGCTCCCATGGCGGGTTTCCGGGTATCTGATTGCCCAGGCGCACCATGGAAATGCATGAACAGTGGCTACTTCCAATTTTGGCGACTCACATGGCGGGCACGCTCCATCGGAGCTCTGATAGGGACGGCCGATGAAGCGGTGGGCAGGAGGGGTGCCAATCCTTGTAGGGGACTCCCAGCATGGTGCACGAGAGGTATCTCTCCTGAGGCTGTGGCCAAGGGATTGAGGCTTTTCTCTGCCCTGATAGGTCTCATCACTGCGGCGCCATCATGGCTTCCAGAGGCGTACACCGGGCGAGCGAACAAGTGATCAAGCGAAACTAAAAAGTTTTCCCTACCTCCGCAGCTGGCATGGGATGAAGCGTGAGTGCTATTTCTCTTTAACTGGTTATGCAGTTAAGCGCCCTTCTGAAACCCTGAAGCCCCAATCTGTAATGATGCAGGGGAAGGGAGTCTGCCCCCCCCCCACAACCTTAAACGAACTTTCTAAGCGACAGAAGGGGCTAGAGGCAACGGCGATCCTGGATTAAATCAAGTAAAGTACAGATCTGTTTAAAGCGACTCCATAAATGAACTTTCAGTGACTTGAAAAAACTTTCTTTGAAGTGTAAACAATGCCTTATGGTGACGAGACCCAGGACTGGCTCACTAGGCAAACTAGACTTTTGCCTAGGATGGGCCTCTGAGGTGGGCGCTGAACTGCCCTGCCTCCCCCCCACCAAAAGCCCCCACCCTGCCTAAAGCAGCTGCTCAGCTCCAAGAGCTCTGCTGCCACCCCTGCTCTCCAGAGGAGGAGGAGGAGTGCGTTCCTGGTGCCTGATCCCGCACAGCCCCTGGCCACCACGGCATGCCTCTGAACTGGAGGGGGGGACCGAGGACCAGCAGCTCCTTGCCCGGTGAGGAGGAAGTGCACTGCCACCCCCACCCCACCCACGGGCCCTGGACTTCCCTGTATGCACCCATTGCCGATTCACTGCCTATCGCTGCCCTCCCCTCCCTCCCTCTCCCGTGGTCTGTGAAGTGCCCTGTGGGGGAAAAAGGTCTCCTATAATGAGAGGCAGAAGCAGAGGAAGAGGCGGTGGCAGAGGACAGCAATGGAAATGTTATTGAAGCAGTCGATCCGGTGCTTTTGCTCAGCTCCCTTTCCTGGAGGCCTCTTGAACTGGCCTCTTTGGGTGCCGTGCCCCTTCATCTGGCGCCCATTTCTAGCTGCTCCCAAAAAAACCGGGGAGAGACCAGGTGGGAGGTGGCGTGGGTCCGGCCCGCCCCACTTCTTTGCAAATGGCCGGCATCAGAGAGAAACCAGAGGAAGTGGAGATGGTTGGGGGG